TCTGCTCTGTATGCGATGCTATTCATTTTGAATGGCACCCGTAGAGGCCAAAGCACCACAATACGTATACTGGGTGTTGTGGTGTACTGCATTCATTGAAAATAAATGGACTCCCTAACACAATGCAGGTTAAGGCTTGTGTAATAATGTGCTGCATACGTGAACGGCCCATGTAGTTATGTTATGTGCAGGAGCGGACTGAGCATTTGGAAACTCGGGCACTGCCCGGGGGCCCCATGAGATGCCCCCGGTACCTTTTTTTCATAAGCTTTTTTGTGTTTGGGCAAGGACACAGGGGCCCCATGATCCTCTATTGCCCAGGGGTCCCATGAGTTGTCAGTCCACCCCTGGTTATGTGGCCATTTTAGCTAATGTTCAAGCAACTTTACTTTTTTAAAATTATTATGCAGTCCTACAACATTTTCCCAGTCGTGTGGTAACAACCCAAGTTGGCTGCCGTGGGGTGAGAACCTAGTCTCCAACTCATGCTTCTGTGTTGTCACCCTGGTACACATACCCCTGGTGTCAAGTCTACCTGTGGCAATGCTGACACACACATGCACAAGCACGGTCCGTCGTTGTTGCTATCTGGACTCATTTATGCAGTCCTACAACTTTTTCCCAGTCGTGTGGTGACAACCCAGTTGCTGCCTGTTGTGGGGTGAGAACCTAGTCTCCAACTTGTGCTTTTGTGTCACACTGGCCCACATACCTTTGGTGTTAAGTCTACATGTGGCTATGCCGACACATGCTCAAGCACAGTTTGTCATCGCTGTTTGGACTCATGCAATCCTACAACGTTGTCCCAGTCGTGGGGTGACAACCAAAGTTGCTGCCCATTGTGGGGTGAGAACCTAGTCTCCAACTTGTGCTTCTGTATTGTCACCCTGGCACACATACCCCTGGTGTTGAGTCTACTTGTGGCTATGCCGACACATGCACAAGCATGGTTTGTCGTTGTCGCTATCCGAAATCAATGCAGAGATGTGGAGAGATGACTCTGGAGCGAGTACATGTAGATGAGAAGGGCTAGATTTACTAAAACTGGAGCTCTTAGAACCTGGTGCAGCTGTACATGGTAGCCAATTAGCTTCTAGCTTCAGCTTGTTCAGTTAAGCCAGTGTTTCTCAACTCCAGTCCTCATGGACCCCCAACAGGTCATGTTTTCAGGATTTCCATTATTTTGCACAGGTGATTTGATCAGTTTCACTGCCTTAGTAATTACCACAGCTGTTTCATCTGAGGGAAATCCTGAAAACATGACCTGTTGGGGGTCCATGAGGACTGGAGTTGAGAAACACTGAGTTAAGCCATTCACAATAAAACCTGGAAGCTGATTGGTTTCTTTGCAGTGTTGCTGTAGATTTTGCACAGTCCAGTACATCAACCCCACAGTGAGAGTAAGAAACGACAAGTCATCCAGTTATGGTTTACTGGATTGTACACCCATTGAGGGTTAGGGGCCTTAGATTGTACGCCCCTTGAGGGTTAGGGACCTTAGTTTGTATGCCCCTTGAGGGTTAGGGACCTTAGTTTGTACGCCCCTTGAGGGTTAGGGACCTTAGATTGTACGTCCCTTGAGGGTTAGGGACCTTAGTTTGTACGCCCCTTGAGGGTTAGGGACCTTAGTTTGTACGCCCCTTGAGGGTTAGGGACCTTAGATTGTACGTCCCTTGAGGGTTAGGGACCTTAGTTTGTACGCCCCTTGAGGGTTAGGGACCTTAGTTTGTACGCCCCTTGAGGGTTAGGGACCTTAGTTTGTACGCCCCTTGAGGGTTAGGGACCTTAGTTTGTACGCCCCTTGAGGGTTAGGGACCTTAGATTGTACAATCCTTGAGGGTTAGGGACCTTAGATTGTACGCCCCTTGAGGGTTAGGGACCTTAGATTGTACGCCCCTTGAGGGTTAGGGACCTTAGATGGTACAGTCCCTTGAGGGTTAGGGACCTTAGATTGTACGCCCCTTGAGAGTTAGGGACTGATGTGAATGTACAATATATATGTACAGTGCTGCATAAATTGACAGCGATCTATAAGTATCTGAAATAATGCCCATTTACAGCCCATAATTACTGTAAGCTGTACCATGAAACATCTGAATTGAAACAGTGACACCTTATGGCCAAATATCAGTTTTACCTTTCGCTTCAACCAATTACACAGTACATGGAAGTCTAGTTTCTTATTTTATTAACGTCCATTCAATTACAAATCTACACGATTACATGCAGCTCGAGTGTTTTAGTAGTGTATAGAGGAAAGGTCCCAACATGTTTCACCCAACCTGGACTTTTTCAGGGGATAAAGTATTTGCCAACAGTTTAGAATTGTCAAAATTAGCAATGAAAAAAAGAAAGTTATACAACAGTACAAAATATTAACAATAAAGTGCAGTGCTATCAATAACAAAAATGAATACATTATCTTATTTAAATCAAAATAAAAACAATGCTAAAAACACACAACGTCCATCTAGGATCCACAGATACAGATAGGAGCTGGTGCTTAAAAGAGAGAGCCCAAGCCAGGGCTAGACTGGCACCTTTCACCCACCATAAATTCCTCTTACCAGATAATTTGACTGCACAAAGGACTGGTCCAATAATGCAGCAAACAGGCCCAACTGATGTAACATCTCCCCTATTTAGATGGCCACGGCCACTGGCTAATTAGGTCTGAGGAAGAAGCTCCACTTCGATTCGCCTTAGTTCCTATTATATGTCACTTCGCTCCTACATCTAACGTCATGTCTGCCCTGGCGCCATTTGCGTTCCTTCAGCGCCAGTCGCACCAAGTATCCAGGAGATCCGTTTCAGCTGTCAGCTTCTGAATCACACACTGCAACACTGTACCCATATGAAATTTTTTAATCATGTTTTTTCACACAACTAGAGCTTTCTTTTGGTGGTATTTAATCACCAATGGCTGTTTGGCTATATGAAAATTTTGAAAGAGATTTTCTTTGCTTCTGTTAAAAGTTTTTGCAAACAGGTAATATTTCTCTCTTACTGATGTTTGTTGATGAGGCTGCACTGATGGGCATTGATGAGGCACTGAAGATATCCCCTTTCACACTTGCTGGTTATCAGCAGTACGTTCCTCACACTGTGATGTGCCACAGTCCATAGACACCCTCCCAGAAATGGATGACCATGCTGTTTCCACTCTCTGGATGAATACACTGAGGGTCAGGGCACCTTGCTCAGGGAAGGGGCCCATGACACCCTGCACTCAGTCTTTTCTCTGTCCTCCCAGTTGAGTGAACCTGGTTGTCATTCAACTTGGAAGACTGAGGACATTTTCTGCTAAAAAAAAAAGAGGTACTGCGAGTTACAGCTCTGTGTTGAAAGTGAATGCTGTAGCCAGGGCCCACAGAAACATGGAGTGGGGGAAATATATTCTCTAGAAAAAAAAGTTGTCCTGAGGGATTATGGGAGCAGAGCCAACCTGTAATTATGATGACACAAGCAAGAGAGAGGAATACTTAGCTGGCCGTGTCAATTGTCACAACCAAATAGAGGCAACAGGTTGACACATCCTGCCAACAACATTCAGTCTGTAGCCAGGGATTTGCTTTTCTCTTATTCATTGTGCAGTTTTCAGATTACAGGCAGTGGTGAAGGAAGTATGGCATCCTCAGCATTCTCTGTCTTTTATCACACTGGACGTTTCACCTTTGTTTTACAGATTTTACACCTAACAGTGTCCTGAGACTGCAATATTTCTTACAACATTGAGACCGGCCATGTGTTTAGAGCAGGGGTTGTCAATTTATGAGGAACAGGAGACCCCATCTGCAGCCTGTGTAAGCACCAAGGAACCACACTTCATATTTGGTATATTGTATGTAATGCCACAAATACTACAGTACATGATGTTTGCTGCAGGAGATGGCCAGAGTCTGCAGACAGGGTAGGGGAGATGGCCAGAACTTTCAGACTTGGTTGGGGAGATGGCTAGAACCTTCAGACATGGTTGGGAGAAGGCCAGAACCTTCAGACAGGGTAGGGGAGACGGCCAGAACTTTCAGACAGGGTTGGTGAGACGGCCAGAACTTTCAGACATGGTACGGGAGATGACCAGAGCCTGCGGAGATAGGGGAGATGGCGAGAACTTTCAGACATGGTACGGGAAATGGTCAGAACTTTCACACATGGTAGGATAGATGGCCAGAGCCTGCGGATATGGTAGGGGAAATGGCCAGAGCTTCTAGACATGGTAGGGGAAATGGTTAGAGCTTCCGGACATGACGCGGGAGAGGGCCAGAGCCTGCGGCCATGGCGATCGAGAGGGCCAGAGCCTGCGGACATGGTAGGGGAAATGGCCAGAGCTTCAAGACATGGTAGGGGAATGGCCAGAGCCTGCAGACATGGTGCGGGAGAGGGCCAGAGCCTGCGGCCATGGCGATCGGGAGAGGGCCAGAGCCTGCGGACATGGTAGGGGAAATGGCCAGAGCTTCAAGACATGGTGCGGGGAGAGGGCCAGAGCCTGCGCACATGGCGCGGGAGAGGGCCAGAGCCTGCGGACATGGCCAGAGCCCTGCGGACATGGCGCGGGAGAGGGCCAGAGCCTGCGGACATGGCGCGGGAGAAGGCATGGCGGCGTGGGAGAGGGCCAGAGCCTGCGGACATGTCGCGGGAGATGGCCAGAGACTTGCAGACATAGTACGGGAGATGGCCAGAGCCCCCCCACCCCGGCCCGTGGTGAAGTGGAAGTGTATATAATTAATTTTTTTTGTAATTATACCAAAAAAGTTCACTATAGACCCCAATTATTTCTATTTTAGATTTTATTACTATAAGGCAGGGTTAAAAATGTAGACACAGACAACAAGAAAGGCCTGGCCGAGGCTCTGACCCTTCCCCTGAAGCAATTTGGGTTTAATTGTGTTTAATGTGTCATGCGATTCTTGCCTAGGCTCTGCCGGGAGCCGCAGTGTGCGTCACGTGACCCCCGGAACGCCGTGTGCTGGCTGGCTGTTTCCGGGGGAATGTTAGAGGCGGCGCACACTGAAGATGGATGCGCGGCAGGAGGAAGCGGTGCGAGAGTTTGTGCTGGTCACCGGCGCGCGGAGGAGGAGAGGGCCCGTTTTTTTTTTCTGGAGTCCAGCGGCTGGGACCTGCAGGTACTGGGGCAGGGGGCTGGAGGGAGTCCGGGGAGAGTGGGAGGGAGGAGGATGGAGGGAGAATCGCATTGTCATCCCGGCTGTCCTACACTCAATTCCTTCCCCCAGATTATCATTATCATTCCCCCTCCCTGTATACCATCCAGCTCCTCTGTATTCCATCCCCCTGTCCTCTGTGTTCCATCCCTGTCCTCTGTGTTCCATCCCCCTCCCTATATACCATCCCTGTCCTCTGTGTTCCATCCCCCTCCCTATATACCATCCCTGTCCTCTGTGTTCCATCCCTGTCCTCTGTGTTCCATCCCCCTCCCTATATTCCATCCCTGTCCTCTGTGTTCCATCCCCCTCCCTATATTCCATCCCTGTCCTCTGTGTTCCATCCCCCTCCCTATATTCCATCCCTGTCCTCTGTGTTCCATCCCCCTCCCTATATTCCATCCCTGTCCTCTGTGTTCCATCCCCCTCCCTATATTCCATCCCTGTCCTCTGTGTTCCATCCCCCTCCCTATTTATACCATCCCTGTCCTCTGTGTTCCATCCCCCCCCTCCCTATATACCATCCCTGTCCTCTGTGTTCCATCCCTGTCCTCTGTGTTCCATCCCCCTCCCTATATTCCATCCCTGTCCTCTGTGTTCCATCCCCCTCCCTATATTCCATCCCTGTCCTCTGTGTTCCATCCCCCTCCCTATATTCCATCCCTGTCCTCTGTGTTCCATCCCCCTCCCTATATTCCATCCCTGTCCTCTGTGTTCCATCCCCCTCCCTATATTCCATCCCTGTCCTCTGTGTTCCATCCCCCCTCCCCTATATTCCATCCCTGTCCTCTGTGTTCCATCCCCCTCCCTATATTCCATCCCTGTCCTCTGTGTTCCATCCCCCTCCCTATATTCCATCCCTGTCCTCTGTGTTCCATCCCCCTCCCTATATTCCATCCCTGTCCTCTGTGTTCCATCCCCCTCCCTATATACCATCCCTGTCCTCTGTGTTCCATCCCCCTCCCTATATACCATCCCTGTCCTCTGTGTTCCATCCCCCTCCTTATATACCGTCCCTGTCCTCTGTATGCCATCCCTGTCTTCTGTATACCACCCCCCCCCATATACCATCCCCCTCCTCATATACCATCCCTGTCCTCTGTATATTCCTTAACTGTCCCCCCCCCCCATATATTCCTTTTCTGTACATCCACCCTATCATCCTATGTTCCTTCTTTGTCCTCCTTATACAGTCCCCCCCTCTGCATATTCTGCCCTCCCCATCCTCTGTATACCCCCCCCCCCATATTCCTCTGTATTCTATTCGCCCTCCCCCCGTCCTCTTTATACCCCCCCAAATCCCCCTGCATTCTATTCTCCCCTCCCCATCCTCTGTATACCCCCCCCAATATATTTCTCTGTATTCTATCCGCCCTCCCCTTCCTCTTTATACCCCCCCCCCCAAATCCCCCTGCATTCTATCCGCCCTCCCCATCCTCTGTATACCCCCCCAATATATTCCTCTGTATTCTATCCGCCCCCCGCTTTCTCTTTATACCCCCCCAAATATATTCCTCTGTATTCCTCCTGCCCTCCCCATCCTCTGTATACCCCCCCAATATATTCCTCTGTATTCTATCCGCCCTCCCCTTCCTCTTTATACCCCCCCCCAAATCCCCCTGCATTCTATCCGCCCTCCCCATCCTCTGTATATCCCCCCCAATATATTCCTCTGTATTCTATCCGCCCTCCCCTTCCTCTTTATACCCCCCCCCAAATCCCCCTGCATTCTATCCGCCCTCCCCATCCTCTGTATTCCCCCTCAATATATTCCTCTGTATTCTATTCGCCCTCCTCTTTCTCTTTATACCCCCCCCCCCCCAAATATATTCCTCTGTATTCCTCCTGCCCTCCCCATCCTCTGTATACCCCCCCAATATATTCCTCTGTATTCTATCCGCCCTCCCCTTCCTCTTTATACCCCCCCCCAAATCCCCCTGCATTCTATCCGCCCCCCCCATCCTCTGTATACCCCCCCAATATATTCCTCTGTATTCTATCCGCCCTCCTCTTTCTCTTTATACCCCCCCAAATATATTCCTCTGTATTCCTCGTGCCCTCGCCATCCTCTGTATACCCCCCAATATATTCCTCTGTATTCTATCCGCCCTCCCCTTCCTCTTTATACCCCCCCCCCCCCCCAAATCCCCCTGCATTCTATCCGCCCTCCCATCCTCTGTATACCCCCCCAATATATTCCTCTAATCTATCCGCCCTCCCCTTCCTCTTTATACCCCCCCAAATCCCCCTGCATTCTATCCGCCCTCCCCATCCTCTGTATACCCCCCCAATATATTCCTCTGTATTCTATCCGCCCTCCTCTTTCTCTTTATACCCCCCCCCCAAATATATTCCCCTGTATTCCTCCTGCCCTCCCCATCCTCTGTCTGCCGTCCTCCTCATGTATTCCTTCTATGTTCTCTGTATGCTGTCCCCCGCCCCCTGTATATTCCTTTCCTGTCCTTTGTTTTCTGTCTGCCCTCCCTGTCCTTTGTATACTGTCCTCCTCATATATATACGTTTTCTGTACCCCCCCTCCTATATTCCTTTCCTGTACCCTGTATCCCCCCCTCATATATTCCCCCACCACCACGCCCATATATTCCTTCTCTGTCCTTTGTATACAGTCCCCTCACCACATGTTCTGTCCCTGTAATCTATATACAGTTGTACTGTCATTTTGTTACATATTCCTTCTGCAGGTTTTGTAATTAGTGGATCTTCGGTCAGTAAAAGAAATAATTCAGCAGGTTTAAATTCTGTAGCCGCTGCCATATAATAAAAGGACATTTACCTGTCCTGGGATCCAGCGTTGTCCTCACCCGGGCCGGTTCTTCTCCTGTCTTCCGGTCCCCTTCATCGGCATGTGGGAAGTGGGCTGTGACTCCTTGCAGCTTCACAGCCGGCTCCTCACTGCACCCTGTGAATGCTCCTGCAGCCTCCTGGGATCTGTGATTTGTCCCAGGGGGCTGAACTGACAAGACAACATACCCGCCCCCCCCCAAAAAAAAAAACAGTTTGCGTTTGGGACAGAGGAGAGGGGGTAGAGTGGGCACAGTGGAACTTTTTTTTTAATGGAAGTTCTGCTTTAAAGGGATAATTTGGTACTGGAACTACAGAGATGAACTTTTCTCTATTGGAAACTTCTTGTACCTAACAAGATCCAATACTGTGGCTTCTCCTCTGTCTGTATAGCAGTACATAAAGAGTTAACTGACAGTGGATGAGACATCTGGTACACCGGTCTCTTCCTCACCTTTCCTGTCTACCTGGTGTCACCTGTCAGATGTGTGGACACGCCCCTATGTTCTCTTTGATTCCATGTTCCTCTTTCCTGTTATTTCTGCTTCCTCTATAGCGGGGGTCTCCAAACTTTCTAAGAAAAGGGCCAGTTTACTATCCTTCAGACTTTAGGGGGGCCGGACTGTGCACAGTGGGAGTTAACAATGTCCCATCTTTTGTTCCTCATCGTTGGTGTCAGTTGGAGGAATGGTGCCTCATTTTGTGTCAGAAGGAAAATTGCCTGATTGTTGGTGTCAATAGGAATAATAGTGCCCTATGTTTGATGTCAGCAGCAGGAATTAGGCCCCATTATTGATGTTAGTAGGAGGAAAGACTCCTCAAGGGCCAGATATAGGCAAGCAAGGAGCCACATCTGGCCCCCGGGGCCACAGTTTGGAGACCACTGCTCTATAGGGTCACAGATAAAGGCAAGCATTGCTTTCTAGTGTAACTGCGATGTGTACTGACTTAAAGCCGAGTTCCGCTCACGCTGTCAAAACATGTCAACATCTACAAAAACTGTAGCTGCTGACTTTTAAAAAAACAGCCACTTACCTGTCCCTCGGTCCCGTAGTGTGTCCCCCGCAGCCCGTTTCACCGGCTGTCCTGTATTCCAGAAGGCCGGCATCTTCAGTGTGGGCACCCGGCTGAGACAGCTTGCGGCTTCACAGCCGGGTGCCCACTGCACATGGGCAAGTAGCGCTGCACTTCATGAATGGTCCTGTAGTCTTCTGGGACCTGTCACGTGTCCCAAAACACTACAGGGAGGGAGAGAGGACACCTTCCGTTTCCGATCGACAAGGCGATCGGACCGGATGTCGGAGCGGGTACCTGTCAAATTCGGGTACCCGCCCCGCAAAGGTGCCAATCCTTAATGGAGATCGGGGGGAGCAGTCCTTAAAGCGGAACTCCGCTTTAATATAGTTCTTGCTACTATGGGAATGCTTGACTTAGTAACTTTTAACAGATTTACTTTACATTGATACTAAACATGTGCTGCTAAATTCACATTGCCCCTTCTCTTTCTGTATGTGGATGATGGCACTGTAATTATTAGAGAAAAAAAAATCTAAGTATCTTTTCCCTAATCTATATACAGCTGTCACATGACCCAGCTCCTTCTTGGCCTGTCTGCAGGGAAACTTAAGCAGGGGTAGCTTTTAGCCCTCTGCTGATGTTCAAAATAATAATTAAAAAAAGGCTTTGGGATACAGAGTAAAAATATCAATAATAAAATAATCATACAAAGTTTTATTATTCCTTGGCAATAGCATGGTGTGGTCGGATTTCTGCCAGTCCCAGGCTGTCTCACTCCCTTCCAGCCTGTGTGTTAGAATAACAGGCAGGTGAAGCCTCTATCAATCAATATCCTATCCCTATTATGTTTAGCTGGTTAGTGGGCATGGTGGTGGTGGAGGAGGAGGGAGGGAGTGGGATGTTATTTACCACTGTGTATACATCCACATGTGTGATTCTATAGTCACATGGGCTGCTCAGATGTGATAAGGAGGAAATGCTCAGCATAGAAACTCATTGAAAAATGAGCATGTGCACTTGCTGCCAACACTGCTCTGCAAAATCCCCAACTGCATTGGGGACATGAACAGAAGATGGAGAGAACAGCAGGATCAACCAGTCTTTTTGCAGAATAAAAAAAAAAATCCAATAGTGCTTGTGAACAACATGTAATGCAGCATTTATTTATAGTTTTTAATTATGCCAGATTCATGACATTAGTGTTTTTTTTTTTTTTTTTTTTTTCATTTAAATCGCAAACTTCATACCTGCTCTGTGTAGTGGTTTTGAACAGAGCAGCCCCAATCCCCCTCTTCTCGGGTCCCCTTCTGTCGCTCCTGACTCCTCCCCCCCTTGACCAGTGCCCCAAATAGCAAGCCACTTGCTATGGGGGCACTGGTGCATGCTCACTCCCGAGCCCCTTTTCATGCGTCCATAAGACGCAGCTTGGCTCTGTCCCCCCACTCTGTCCTCGCTGGCTGTGATTGAGAGCAATGGGAGCAGCTCACACTGTTGTGGTTTAGCCAATGAGGAGAAGGAGACCTGAGGCTTCTGTGCACATGGCTGGATCAAGAGGGGGCTCAGGTAAGTTTTAGGGGGCCTATGGGGGGAGCAGCACACAGGAAAGCGATTGTTGGAGGATCAGAAAGCCATCCCGGCAAATAGGACGTGGTGTGTTGTGACCAAGTACAAATATGTCCACAGCTTGTTTTATAAGATATAAAGCCAGGAGGTGTCTTTTAGAAGGTGTCTACAGCCGGGAGGTTTCATTAGAAGGTGTCTACAGCCGGGAGGTTTCATTAGAAGGCGTATACAGCCAGGAGGTTTCATTAGAAGGTGTCTACAGCCGGGAGGTTTCTTTTAGAAGGTTTATACAGCCGGGAGGTGTCTTTTAGAAGGTTTATACAGCCGGGAGGTGTCTTTTAGAAGGTGTATACAGCTGGGAGGTGTCTTTTAGAAGGTGTCTACAGCCGGGAGGTTTCTTTTAGAAGGTGTCTACAGCCGGGATGTTTCATTAGAAGGTGTATACAGCCGGGATGTTTCATTAGAAGGTGTCTACAGCCGGGATGTTTCATTAGAAGGTGTATACAGCCGGGATGTTTCATTAGAAGGTGTCTACAGCCGGGATGTTTCATTAGAAGGTGTCTACAGCCGGGATGTTTCATTAGAAGGTGTATACAGCCGGGATGTTTCATTAGAAGGTGTCTACAGCCGGGAGGTGTCTTTTAGAAGGTGTCTACAGCCGGGAGGTGTCTTTTAGAAGGTGTATACAGCCGGGAGTTTCTTTTAGAAGGTGTCTACAGCCGGGAGGTGTCTTTTAGAAGGTGTATACAGCCGGGAGGTGTCTTTTAGAAGGTGTACACAGCCGGGAGGTGTCTTTTAGAAGGTGTGTACAGCCGGGAGGTGTCTTTTAGAAGGTGTGTACAGCCGGGAGGTGTCTTTTAGAAGGTGTGTACAGCCGGGAGGTGTCTTTTAGAAGGTGTGTACAGCCGGAGGTGTCTTTTAGAAGGTGTGTACAGCCGGGAGGTGTCTTTTAGAAGGTGTGTACAGCCGGGAGGTGTCTTTTAGAAGGTGTGTACAGCCGGGAGGTGTCTTTTAGAAGGTGTGTACAGCCGGGAGGTGTTCTTTTAGAAGGTGTGTACAGCCGGGAGGTGTCTTTTAGAAGGTGTGTACAGCCGGGAGGTGTCTTTTAGAAGGTGTGTACAGCCGGGAGGTGTCTTTTAGAAGGTGTGTACACAGCCGGGAGGTGTCTTTTAGAAGGTGTGTACACAGCCGGGAGGTGTCTTTTAGAAGGTGTGTACAGCCGGGAGGTGTCTTTTAGAAGGTGTGTACAGCCGGGAGGTGTCTTTTAGAAGGTGTCTACAGCCGGGAGGTGTCTTTTAGAAGGTGTGTACAGCCGGGAGGTGTCTTTAAAAGGTGTCTACAGCCGGGAGGCGTCTTTTAGAAGGTGTCTACAGCCGGGAGGTGTCTTTTAGAAGGTGTATACAGCCGGGAGGTGTCTTTTAGAAGGTGTATACAGCCGGGAGGTTCTTTTAGAAGGTGTATACAGCCGGGAGGTTTCTTTTAGAAGGTGTCTACAGCCGGGAGGTTTCATTAGAAGGTGTCTACAGCCGGGAGGTTTCATTAGAAGGTGTATACAGCCGGGAGGAGGTTTCATTAGAAGGTGTCTACAGCCGGGAGGTTTCTTTTAGAAGGTTTATACAGCCGGGAGGTGTCTTTTAGAAGGTGTTATACAGCCGGGAGGTGTCTTTTAGAAGGTGTATACAGCCGGGAGGTGTCTTTTAGAAGGTGTCTACAGCCGGGAGGTTTCTTTTAGAAGGTGTCTACAGCCGGGATGTTTCATTAGAAGGTGTATACAGCCGGGATGTTTCATTAGAGAAGGTGTCTACAGCCGGGATGTTTCATTAGAAGGTGTATACAGCCGGGATGTTTCATTAGAAGGTGTCTACAGCCGGGATGTTTCATTAGAAGGTGTCTACAGCCGGGATGTTTCATTAGAAGGTGTATACAGCCGGGATGTTTCATTAGAAGGTGTCTACAGCCGGGAGGTGTCTTTTAGAAGGTGTCTACAGCCGGGAGGTGTCTTTTAGAAGGTGTATACAGCCGGTGTCTTTTAGAAGGTGTATACAGCGGGAGGTTTCTTTTAGAAGGTGTATACAGCCGGGAGGTGTCTTTTAGAAGGTGTATACAGCCGGGAGGTGTCTTTTAGAAGGTGTATACAGCCGGGAGGTGTCTTTTAGAAGGTGTCTACAGCCCGGGAGGTGTCTTTTAGAAGGTGTGTACAGCCGGGAGGTGTCTTTTAGAAGGTGTGTACAGCCGGGAGGTGTCTTTTAGAAGGTGTGTACAGCCGGGAGGTGTCTTTTAGAAGGTGTGTACAGCCGGGAGGTGTCTTTTAGAAGGTGTGTACAGCCGGGAGGTGTCTTTTAGAAGGTGTGTACAGCCGGGAGGTGTCTTTTAGAAGTGTCTTTTAGAAGGTGTATACAGCCGGGAGGTGTCTTTTAGAAGGTGTGTAGCCGGGAGGTGTCTTTTAGAAGGTGTGTACAGCCGGGAGGTGTCTTTTAGAAGGTGTGTACAGCCGGGAGGTGTCTTTTTAGAAGGTGTGTACAGCCGGGAGGTGTCTTTTAGAAGGTGTGTACAGCCGGGAGGTGTCTTTTAGAAGGTGTGTACAGCCGGGAGGTGTCTTTTAGAAGGTGTCTACAGCCGGGAGGTGTCTTTTAGAAGGTGTCTACAGCCGGGAGGTGTCTTTTAGAAGGTGTCTACAGCTACAGCCGGGAGGTGTCTTTTAGAAGGTGTCTACAGCCGGGAGGTGTCTTTTAGAAGGTGTCTACAGCCGGGAGGCGTCTTTTAGAAGGTGTCTACAGCCGGGAGGCGTCTTTTAGAAGGTGTCTACAGCCGGGAGGCGTCTTTTAGAAGGTGTCTACAGCCGGGAGGCGGAAGGGTGTCTACAGCCGGGAGGCGTCTTTTAGAAGGTGTCTACAGCCGGGAGGCGTCTTTTAGAAGGTGTCTACAGCCGGGAGGCGTCTTTTTAGAAGGTGTGTACAGCCGGGAGGGTCTTTTAGAAGGTGTCTACAGTCTTTTAGAAGGTGTGTACAGCCGGGAGGCGTCTTTTAGAAGGTGTCTACAGCCGGGAGGCGTCTTTTAGAAGGTGTGTACAGCCGGGAGGCGTCTTTTAGAAGGTGTCTACAGCCGGGAGGCGTCTTTTAGAAGGTGTCTACAGCCGGGAGGCGTCTTTTAGAAGGTGTCTACAGCCGGGAGGCGTCTTTTAGAAGGTGTCTACAGCCGGGAGGCGTCTTTTAGAAGGTGTCTACAGCCGGGAGGCGTCTTTTAGAAGGTGTCTACAGCCGGGAGGCGTCTTTTAGAAGGTGTCTACAGCCGGGAGGCGTCTTTTAGAAGGTGTCTACAGCCGGGAGGCGTCTTTTAGAAGGTTTCTACAGCCGGGAGGTCTTTTAGAAGGTGTCTCTACAGCCGGGAGGCGTCTTTTAGAAGGTGTCTACAGCCGGGAGGCGTCTTTAGAAGGTGTCTACAGCCGGGAGGCGTCTTTTAGAAGGTGTCTACAGCCGGGAGGCGTCTTTTAGAAGGTGTCTACAGCCGGGAGGCGTCTTTTAGAAGGTGTCTACAGCCGGGAGGCGTCTTTTAGAAGGTGTCTACAGCCGGGAGGCGTCTTTTAGAAGGTGTCTACAGCCGGGAGGCGTCTTTTAGAAGGTGTCTACAGCCGGGAGGCGTCTTTTAGAAGGTGTCTACAGCCGGGAGGCGTCTTTTAGAAGGTGTCTACAGCCGGGAGGCGTCTTTTAGAAGGTGTCTACAGCCGGGAGGCGTCTTTTAGAAGGTGTCTACAGCCGGGAGGCGTCTTTTAGAAGGTGTATAAAGCAGGAATAAGAATGACACCTATGGAGATTAGAACAGCACAATTATCTGCCTAGTCAGATGTCTAAGCAAAGGGTGATGCCTCTATGATGTTGTTTTCCTTAGCTGTTATTATTGTGCGCTTAAATTTTATGTTCTTCTTGAACATCTAGTTGTCTCTGGCAAGCTTTTATGAAGATGGAGGAGATGAAGATATAGTGACACTACCGCAGCCACCGTCCGGTTCCACTTCCCGTGGCTCTGGGCCCAGGTAAGGATGTTACTGTGGACCATTATCTAAAGCTTGTCTTGAAGTAGAAGCCAAACTTTTTTTTCTCCTTTTTTTTTTTTCTTCAGTTTTGTATAGAGTAGAAAAGTATTACTGTTCCTGTTGTGTTGTTATTAACGTGTGTGTCCCCATTGAGTGGTTCTACCCTTTAGTTTTCCGGGTGACCCCTGTCTATGTGAGAGACAGAATGGGGAATGTGAAAATTTTACTGTTGTCACCGGAACAGATGAAATCTCCAAACAGGGACACCCGGCACAATGACAACAGAGTAAGAGGAGTTTTTCTGTCACTTCCTGTCATGCCTCCAGAACTTGAAGTGATGGGAAATATGCTTTATTGGTGCACAGCAAAAAAAAAATAAAATACGGAGTTTGATGTTCTAACTAAGGGTCAGGTTAGTTTTCTTCATTTTATACAAGTTAGCAGTTATCCATAAGTCCGATGTTTTGCTTTACCTTTAGTGACCACAGAGTGACGTCTTTCCGAGACCTGGTGCACGCGCAGGAGGAAGAGGAGGAGGAGGAAGAAGGTCAAAGGTCAGATTTCACTTTGGAAACATTAGACCTGAAGTAGTTGTTTTTTTTTTTTTTTACTTTTAAAAGTGTTTTATTTTCTTAGATTATCGTTGCTTTGTACATAGTTTCTCCATTATGTACTTGTCTAATAAGACACCTAGTTATTCACAGTTTTGTTTCCTCCCCTTGCCCTTTAGATTGATACTTAAATGGCTAGTGCTATTATAGTGCCTGGAAAAAGTATTCATACCCCTTGAAATTTTCCACATTTTGTCATGTTACAACCCCCCCTTTTCCCCCTACAAAGAGGACCTGTCACTCATATGCTATCACATAGAGGACTATTGGTCCCCTATGTGATCGCAATAAAATCATAAGTTTAAAAAATGTATAAAAATATACATTAAAGTAGAAAAAAAAAACATATAAATTGGAGCCTCCCCACATACGCAGACATTTCGGTTCAGTTTTCAGCCACATGCATTCTGATTTTTCGGTCTCGGTTTTGGCCCCAGAATTTTCATTTCGGTGCACAACTAATTTTAAGTTTAATATAAAACCAGTCATGTTTGCGTTCGAATGCTGTTTTTTAACTTGAAAAGTTGTTCATACTTAACATCATTTTGCTGCTAAATACCCCAGGAGATATTTTTCGGCCCATTTCTCTGGGATTTTAAATTGTGTTTATGTTAAATATTGTAGATTGGAATTTTTACTACATTGTTAGGATTTGAAGTGCCTTAAACCTCAATAGAACTCGATCTCCCTTGAAGATTTAGACCTCTCAGTTTGTGTCATTGAGTTAGGACATGGATGTGCAATACAGAACTTTGTATTTGCTGTTGGAATATTGTACTTTTATGTGTTTTTCTTACATTTTTACATTTACAGGACCAAGGTAGATAATAATGTTATGTAAATCATATGGGGGATCTATGTAGTTTTTAGTTGTGTTTGATCATTGTAAACAATGAATCTTGAATGACACTCGATGAACCTAAAATTACTTCTTGTGAGCCCAACGTGTCAAGGATATGACCTCAGGGATGTGCAATTCTTATCGCTCGACGCCTGGGATATGCAGTTTTTTTTTTTTTTTTTTTTTAAATTTTAAATATTTTATTAGTTTTAGAAAAAAAATTTCTTCACCCCTAGACACCGAGGGCTCGAAAATATGCAGCCTCTTGGCGTCTGGGCCTTGATGCCAAGAGGCCGCATATTTGCGTACCATTTGAAAATACAGTTGTGCTGAGAGCGCGCTTCCAGCACATATGTCCGTGACTCACGGAAAGGTCCTGATCTCTTTTGCGATCTGGACCTTTTCCGATCATGTGACCGTTGTGACAGCGAATCACGGCGATCACATGACCAGTGATGTATTTAGGTTTTGTGCTGCCCTAGGCAACACAAAAATCATCTGTCCCCAAGGACACTGACCAGCCACCCACCTGGGAGAGCCTTCCACTAACCCCCCCCCTCCCCCCAGCGATGGAGAGACACTCATCTTTACAGCTCCAGACATCCCCTAGAACGAGAGTCAGGCTTTACATACACCATCAAGCAGCCTCTCTCAGACCCCACCTGGTTTCCATGGCGTGCATGTCTTCTTTCATCCCCTCTTCTGGAGGGAAGCACCGCCCCCTGAAAAATGCCGCCCTAGGCAAGTGCCTTGTTTGCCTTGTGGTAAATACAACCCTGCACATGACCCTAAAACCCTGCCCTGCCTCCCGACTTCTGAAACCTCTTAAAGGGCTGGGAGGCGCCGGCGCAAAGGGGTTAACATCAAGAAATAATCATATTATTCACATACAAAAAACATTTTCATTTAAAACCATTCTCCCCTGAAAACCTATTCCCTCCCCTCTCCCATTCCCATCCCCAAATTCCTCCTTTTTAACTCCCAGCTCCTCTTTATTTCCAAGATACTTTCAAAACTCCCTACCTAATCTACTGATCCCTTTTTTTTCCTTTCTTAATTTCCTACTCTCTAGAAAATTATATAAACGGAACAAATGAGGTGAGAGTAGGAAATTAAAGGAAATCTGTTCCGTTTTATATAATTTTCTATATACCTCCCATTTGTTCCATTTTTTCCCAAAATCTTGCCATTTTATCTTCCTCCATCTTGTACACAGTCTACTTATCCAGTCCTTAATTTTCAGGACTTTTTTTGTTCTTGGCAAAATTTAGGTATGAGATCCTTTGCCTTTGGAATATCACCGTATTTTTATATTTTTCTACTATGGTCTCTGTTTTATGAAATAAATATGTGCCTGGGCATTTCAGGACCCCTGTGATCTCCTGTATTTGGTGTACTGTTTCATCCCAATATTTCTGTATCCTAGGACACTCCCACCATATATGTGCCATTGTGCCCTCACTCCCACATCCCCTCCAGCACCAGAGTGATTTGTATTTGTTGCCTATACGCCACACGCGGTGTGATATACCACCTAGCTAAACACTTATAATTCATTTCTACTACCTTCATATCTAAGGGACATGCAGTTCTGAGCTCCTTGAAGGTGGTTCTTGTTTTTGTGGGGTTTTTTTTTTTAACATATAGCCCAGCAGGGTTTACTTTTTTTGCCCCTGTGCTTCATTTCCCCTTCCCCTCTCCAGCTAACTACAGGCTCAGCCTCCCTGCCTCAGCACTGCTTTTGCCATAGAGCCTTCCGACAGCCAATCGTCTGCCAGTCGACCACACCCCGCCACCTATTGGCCACCAGGTCTGCTCTTTTACTGAGTTCCCAATTTGACAAGTGTGACGGGAGTCACTTTGGGTGGGGGGTCCAGCTCACTTTGGAGAGGTGGGGAGACCCCTGTCTCAGCTCCCCATATCCCTCTTGTGTGTAAGTCACCCTGTGCCTGTTAGGGGTACAGGGTGATCTGTCCTGATATTGAGGTGGGGGGTTGTTGATTGTTTGATGCCATGTGGTTGTATCCCATTGTTCTATTGTGTGTCTTACTTAGGAGCAAACTATTATGGGATGTATGTGTTTATGTGTATTCGCTTAGTGGGGGGTGTCTCCAGCAGCCCTCCCTCCTGATGGGACTGTGCTGGAGTGTCTCTTGTTACAAAATGTAGATTGCCCCGACCTGTGTCATTATTCAGAGAGGGGGGATTGTCCCGAGTGTATAAAAAGCCAGTTCGAGTTTCAAATAAAGAGTTCCATGTTCAGGCAGACTGGTGTTGTCAAGTCTTGTATGGTCAGCGGTGGTGTCGGTGTTTGGACGGGGAAGCGGTAGTCTAACGGAAGTACCCAAGTGCAGTCTGGGGTTGGTTCCGTTACAGCAAGCGTCATGTTTGCTATGATAGGCAGAGGCTGCGCACAGCCTTTCGGGAAGTGTAGTTCTTCGGTCTATGTACAGTGGCTCCCTTCAGCCTGCAGACGACTCAACCTCCCGTAGCAAGGGAGAAGGGTGGAGGGGTGCCGCAGTCACTGATCATGCAGGCTGGATCACAGGTGGTACATTACACAGACCGGTGCTGAGTAATACTAATCCTGGATGCCTGGGGGTGCCTGGTAATTCCTGCCTGTCCTCCAGAGCCTGGGAGCACCACCTCACTCCGTCCTGGGCCAGACCTGCCTTCATTGTGCCACCTCACACTGCAGGCTGGAAGACTACACAGCCTACCCACCCTGAGCTCCTGGTGTCTACTCCACGGAGGATGGACATGCAGAGCTAGAGTGCTCTCACCTGACACTCCTCTCTACTAATGAGCCCCCAATTGGGGATCTCCACACTGCAAGGTGTCTTCCTCCTACCACCCCCAGCCCCATTCAGTCCCTTGGACAACTAGTTTTAAAAAAAAAAAAATTTCCACACCCCAGATGACCTCTTGGGGGTTGCACCTCAAAGCCGCCATGGGCTTACAGGAATATGCAGCAGAGAACATTGCCACTTCATTACATAACGCGGCTCTCTCTGCTGCTCTCTTGTCTGTCGCTGGAGGAAGGAGAGGACCTGTCACTTCACATAACCATCTTCATCACTGCTGAATCCTGTAGTGGATTAGGGAGCAGGATACACCGGCATCTGACACTCCAAGAAGTGTGGAATGACGATGTATTTTTCAGAAGCTGCAGCATTGGAACAGAAATTAACAGGAATATGATCCTTCATTGTAGTGACTTGGATTGTTTTTTTTTTTTTTTTTTTTTTGTCTTTTTATAGATTTGACAGGGTCACTTTAGGGTGTAAAGCATGGATATGCATGACGGCTCTAGATCCAAAGTCAGCTGGCATGTTTGTATCCTGACTGTCTTGCTAGTCTTTGACCCTAGTATTGTCTAGAGCTAATCGGATTCTCTGTACAGGGCGTGCAGGAGAAGAATGGCCCCTTTGTGCTTGTGTAGAGGGTTTTATTACATGCTGAATCGTAGTTTTTGTAGGACAAAAGCAGATACTATGATTCTGGTGCACAGGTAGACAAGACTAGCAAAAAAGGCACATTAGTCATTGCTGATCTCTCCCAGGTGAATTGGTCATTCAGTCATTGTGTGCTCCTTTTTGTGTAGTTTGTATTATAAGAGTTTTCTTCCCATATAAAACAATTGTGTTTTTCTTGTTGGGTTTAGCAACTAGAGAGAACACAACTGTTCTTTTTCTAATGAAGAGTGAAAGAAAAAAACAAAAAGATCTGACTGGCTTTGACTGCCCTGAGGGCTAGACATTAATAAATATTGTCCGCTTGTCAACTTGCCATCCGCAAATTTAAATTGAGCGTAAAGTTTCAACGTTTTTGAATTTTGTGGATTAAAACCCGTGTCAAGTGTGTTGTTTTTTAAATATATATAATTTTTTAAATAATTTATCGATTTTCAAAATGCTTACAGACAGAGTTGCATAGAATCTCAAAATAACAATCACAAAGCTATAAAAGAACAGAGAAATAGGCTCATCGATGAGAGGCATATAGGTACATACAATGTCAATAGAAAACAGTGAATTTGCCATCATTTTCAGACAATTGAGTAGGCAATTTGGAAATGGAAAGATCCCGCGGTTCGCAGGCCGCCTCAGAGATCCCGCGGTTCGCAGGCCGCCTCAGAGATCCCGCGGTTCGCAGGCCGCCTCAGAGATCCCGCGGTTCGCAGGCCGCCTCAGAGATCCCGCGGTTCGCAGGCCGCCTCAGAGATCCCGCGGTTCGCAGGCCGCCTCAGAGATCCCGCGGTTCGCAGGCCGCCTCAGAGATCCCGCGGTTCGCAGGCCGCCTCAGAGATCCCGCGGTTCGCAGGCCGCCTCAGAGATCCCGCGGTTCGCAGGCCGCCTCAGAGATCCCGCGGTTCGCAGGCCGCCTCAGAGATCCCGCGGTTCGCAGGCCGCCTCAGAGATCCCGCGGTTCGCAGGCCGCCTCAGAGATCCCGCGGTTCGCAGGCCGCCTCAGAGATCCCGCGGTTCGCAGGCCGCCTCAGAGATCCCGCGGTTCGCAGGCCGCCTCAGAGATCCCGCGGTTCGCAGGCCGCCTCAGAGATCCCGCGGTTCGCAGGCCGCCTCAGAGATCCCGCGGTTCGCAGGCCGCCTTTGGGTAGCCGCCTCAGAGATCCCGCGGTTCGCAGGCCGCCTCAGAGATCCCGCGGTTCGCAGGCCGCCTCAGAGATCCCGCGGTTCGCAGGCCGCCTCAGAGATCCCGCGGTTCGCAGGCCGCCTCAGAGATCCCGCGGTTCGCAGGCCGCCTCAGAGATCCCGCGGTTCGCAGGCCGCCTCAGAGATCCCGCGGTTCGCAGGCCGCCTCAGAGATCCCGCGGTTCGCAGGCCGCCTCAGAGATGGGGACAGAGCATGCAAAGCAGTGAGGTACTCCAGTTTTCTAATCTCTACTATAACCTTCACCAATTCCGATCGTGTAGGAGGCGTAGTAGAAAGCCAATGCATGGGAATGGTTCTCCTGGCTGCCGCTAAAACATGGGAGGATAGTTTCCTGGCATATTTGGAGAAGCCTGAATAAGGTAGGCCCAACAAAAAGTGGATGGGCTCTAATGAAATTGGAGCCTGTAAAAGTAGCTGCACCATGCCAGGTTTTTATTGCTTTTTGAAGATGTGCCCGCTATTTGTCCTGGTAAATATTTTAACTTAGAATTGTTTTATAGACAGTTTAGGATTTATTCCCTTTTTTTTCTATCAAGTATTTTCATATTATGATCTTGTCTAAATAAGATTCTTCACTCGGCAGGTTTTACGCAGGAGGCTCAGAGAGGAGTGGACAGCAGATTGTGGGGCCCCCCAGGAAGAGGAGTCCCAACGAGCTTGTCGAAGATCTCTTTAAGGGAGCCAAGGAACATGGAGCTGTCGCTGTGGACAGAACTTCTAAGAGTCCTGGAGAAAGCAGCCGATCGGTAAGGATGACGGTTCGGGAACTAAAGACCAAGGTGGCCATTCTGTATAGATTGCTATAACGGACAAAGTGGAACCTCAAAAGAGCCAATCACACTACAGGTTCTTCCAGCATCTGTCCCATTTCAGGTTCTCCCAGCGTCTGTCCCATTTTCCGGTTCTCCCAGCGTCTGTCCCATTTTCCGGTTCTCCCAGCGTCTGTCCCATTTTCCGGTTCTCCCAGCGTCTGTCCCATTTTCCGGTTCTCCCAGCGTCTGTCCCATTTTCCGGTTCTCCCAGCGTCTGTCCCATTTTCCGGTTCTCCCAGCGTCTGTCCCATTTTCCGGTTCTCCCAGCGTCTGTCCCATTTTCCGGTTCTCCCAGCGTCTGTCCCATTTTCCGTTCTCCCAGCGTCTGTCCCATTTCAATTTAGAAGTTTGCCCTTCGCTCTAACACCCCGGTCACACTGGATGATTGTCGCACCCTATTTGCAATTAGAGCGGTCATGTCAGTTCTGTTCCGACTTGGTTTCTAAAGTAGTACATGCACTACTATTGGTGTGAATTGCATAGACATCCGTGTCAGATGTCTTGCAAATCACACCAGAAATCGTCATGTCACTTGACTTTGAAATCGTGCGACTTAAGCTGCTTTCACACTGATCCACCACAAAAACGCATAGGCATGTTTACCACTTAAAAACTGCTCCAAAAATGCTTTTCAGAGGCGTTTTTAAGGCGCTTTTCAGCCGTTTTCCATTTATTTCAGTGGGAAGAGGCGTTTTTTGGGGCATTTTTTTTTCCCCAAAGATGCTGCAAGCAAGAGGTTTTTGCACCGCAAGCGCAATGCCTCTGTGTGAAAACATGCATAGATATACATTTACATACACAGGGAAGCAGTTTTATTGAGCTTTTCAGGCGCTTTTTGTTACGCAAAAACGCTTGAAAAACTCCTCAGTGTAAAAGCAGCCTAACAGTGATTTCAAAGTCTGGTTTGATGTAACCGGGGTGTAAGGAACTGTTTTGTACTCTTTAATTGTCATATGCAGCTACAAAACGTAACTTGCATCCCATGACTGCTTGAGAAACCCGGAAGAATTACTGCTAATGCAGCCGCACCACCCACACAGAGAAATTCAGACCGGCAGGCGAGTGCCATTAGTTCTAATGGCACACCACCTGCACTGGAAATCGCAACTGTACTGAGAACCGAGGTTCCCGCGCGGGCTGCGTTTTCCGAAGAAGTGCAGGAATGTCTTCCCCGCATGTCACGGGGCACGGGAGTCTTTTCAAATGAATGGGCTCTCCTGCCCACGCAAAACGTGGCCCGCTATGAACGTGGAGATGTGCACCTAGCCTTACTGCCAAAGATTAATTGAACAAGCTGAGGTTAAAAGCTGATTGACTCCTTGATTTTAACTTTTTTTTTTTTTCTTTTCTCTTTCTCTCTAGCCTTTTGCTGGAGGTGGGTACCGATTGGGAGCCGCTCCAGAAGAGGAGTCGGCTTACGTTGCTGGAGCTCGGAGACAGAATCAAGGCCAGGATGTAAGTGTGCTCCATCTTGGCTGCTGTGCTGATCATTCGCTGTCTTTCTGAAAGGTCTGTGTTGAATTATAGTGTAAAAATAGCAACAAGCTACTGTTTAATTGTTATTGTTGATAATTAAACAGTAGTAGTTAATGCAGTGACCAATGTTAGCTGGGCAATTAGTGATATTTCATACAATGGTGTCCCTAGGCAGGTGCGGGGGGGTGCGCGCCGCACCGGGTGACACCTATCGCACGGGGTGACACCGGACCCGCTCCACGAATAGGTATGTTTTAAAGCAAGCCGACGATCCCCGCAGGATTGGATCAGATCTGTGGATTGAGCATAATGGATCGCAGTCCGATCCATTATGCATCCCAATCCGCAGATCCGATCCATTCTGCGGTGATCTTCGGCTTGCTTTAAAACTTACCTTTTCGTGGAGCTCGTGGAGAGATCAGTTAACCCCGTATATGTTGCAAGCCGACGATCCCCACAGGATGGATCGGATCTGCGGATTGGGCAGCATAATGGATCGGACTCCGATCCATTATGCTCAATCCGCAGATCCGATCCATTCTGCGGGGATCGTCGGAGGGGTGACACCAAGTGTTACCACATCGGGCGACACCAACCCTAGGGACGCCCCTGATTTCATAGGCATCATCTACAGCAGGAAATGGCTAGTTTCAAGATAAATTATTTTTAGCATGGTCTGTCTGTGCATAGCTGCTTCTCATAGGGTGATTTTGATGTTTTAAAAGAAAAGTATGGGATCTCATTTTTATTTTTTTTCCTCCTCCTACTTACCTAGGTGGAAACAGCAGTGGCCCGGTGCTGCATCTATCCCCCACCGGCTCTAAGTGTGAGAATTCAGCTATTAGGGATCGCTGAGTTCTCACAGCTGCTGAAATCGGTGACGGTCACTCCTGTGATCCACTTCTCCTTTTAAGCCTTACCTTGCGCTTGATTGGTTGTGTAGTAGAAAGCTGCTGGTTTGAGGTTGGACAGCAAAAAATGTGAGGCCTTGTAACTGTCATGGGCAAGCGGTGCTGTCCCCCCACGCCCCCCCCCCCCCCCAACCCTTTTAGTTGCATTGGGTAGCGCTTCTATTTTTGAAGCCTAATTGGAGGATTCCTGAGCAGTCACTGCAATGTTGCTCACATATTAGCGGTTCGCTACATGAAAGCCTGAATTCAGTTTTGAGGTGTGCTTTTAACCATCTTCTGTACTTTGTATCCTTGCCTATGGTCAGGAGCTGTAGTATTGTTGGTTTTACACATTACGATCGTGTGGGAGCACTTAAAGCAATCCTGTTCTTTGCCCATTCAGGACAAAGTACAAGAGTTTGGAGTTGCTCCTTGTAAGAACAATTACATTTTTTTTTTTTTAATTGCTGAACTTTGGTTCTATAGGTCCATGTGGTGCTGAAGCTCTGGAAAAATGGATTCAGCTTAGATGAGGGAGAACTGCGCAGCTATCAAGACCCCAGCAATGCACAGTTCTTGGAGTCTATACGCAGAGGGTAAGATTTGCCTTCTATATTTTACTATTAGCATGAGCATCCTTAACCTTGTACCCCAACTTGAGGTAACTGGAATATTTTGTGCAGGTTTAGACTTGACAGACATATGTTGACGAATGAGATCATCTGCAGGCAAAGCCAATATCCTTTCCCACCTGTTCACAAGCGTAAAAAAAACGAAAACTTTTTTGCTCAGCTAACATTCCCCATCACTGTGTCTAGCTGGTACTGCTTCCATAAGTGACTACCTGTAATCCAGCACAGCAATCTATACCTGTGACAGCCAGTTTGTCATCCTCTTACTCTCCACGCTCTACTGGAGCCTGAGGACTCCACCTCTGGAAAGCCTATAGGAGGTTTCGCAGGCAGTGATGTGGACACCTGCGTGTTACATCACCTTGGAATTAGGTAAATAAAAGAGGCTGTTAGCTCAGGATTTTTTCTTCCTAAGTAATTAGCGATTAAGAGGTTGTGATTAGTGGGTAATTCCCGGAGTTCAGATTTAAAGCAACTGGTCATTATTAAAACTTGAGAGCTGGTAATTGCCAACCACATCCTGAAAATGCCAATTGCTTAGTTTATCACTGAAACAGAAAACTGATCATGAGCATAATTAACGATACATGAGCATTGGTTAAACTTCTCTTGTACAGTGGGGGTATCAGGTGAATACTCATGAAATGCGGAGGGAGCAAGCTTAACAAGACAAGGAGCTTAGGGTTGGTGTCACGGTATGGGGATGGTCATACCCGGCAAAAGAGTTGGGCGGAGGTGGCAGAAGCACAAAACTTCCAAAATGACATGATCTTCGTACTATGAAACCACATAATTCACCAGTGGTTGTTGGGCTGCCAAAAAAAAAAAACAAAACCCACAACTCCCCTGTAAAGGATGAGGGTATATCTTTTCCTCACACCTGTTGTTGGAATCTTTGCTCTACTGAGCTAAACCCCACGAAGCATCTTCATCCATGAGTAGTGGATGCTTGTGGTTCCTCTTACTGTGCCTCTGGTCTGCAGGAAGAACCACATAGGGACCCACTTCTGTGTGCAAATTCTTTTTTGTGGCATTGCTCTACAGCGGGGTTAAAGGATAAGTTCACCTTTTACTAACAAAATAATAAATGCACATTTCTTTTGAAGGTAAAAAAATGTGCATTTATTATTTTTGTCTGCAGCAGCCTGTAAAGCATTGCACCAAAGTTAAGCAGATCCCTGGTGCCATGCAGGTCTCCTGAAGACCTGTCTGTATATCTGATGCTCCGTACGGGATGTACCAGTCAGCAGATATATTGATAGGAAGAATGAATGAACTACCACAGTGCAGTGGTAGTTCATTGAGCACTACAAGCCGACAGCCGCTAAGGCTGTTGGGGCTTGTAGTCTCTCATTCATAGAACAGTGTGAGTGATGCAGCCAGGCAGGCGGAGTCGTGTTTTTTTTTTTTTTTTTTTTTTTTTTTTTTTTTTTTTTTTACACTTGACAGCTAGCGGGGAGACGATCCTCCACTAGCTTTCAAAATGGGGAGGAGCGGAAGCCAGTCTGATCAATACATGTTATACCCTGAATATGGGTGCAACATGTTACGAAAGATGCTCTCTATCCTTTAAGATTCTGTGCTTAGGTACCAGAACAGGCGAGTTGTGGTTTTTGTTTTTGTTTTGTTTTGTTTTGTTTTTCAATTTTCTATCTTGGTTTTTTAAAGAAGGTCCTATATATGTATGTATATCAAGCTGACAATGCCTTTTTTTTTAAAAAACCTGAACTTTGTGGGTAAATGCAGGATCACATATATGCGGACTGGATGCGGTTTGAATCAAAATCCAATCCGCATGACATGTGAAACATTGATTCCTATGATGCCTGTTCCTATATGTCCGGTGCACTGGCGGTGTGGATTCAGTGCGGTTTTAAAAAGTCATGTCCGATTTCAGAGCAGTGCGGTCCAGTTCAGGTGCGGATTACAGGGTATTCACTAATATGGGAATCGTTTCTAAACTGCATGTGTTAGACCAGGATAAGATCCTGAGCTAATCCTGTCCTGAACTGGAGGTAAAACTGACATGAACCGGTGAACAACTTCTTTATCAATTAGCTGTGAAACACGAGCTTCAGCCCTGGTTCACACTGATGCGGTGCGCAATTCGCAGCGATTCAGCATCGCACCCCGTTTTATGCGATCCGCCGTGGGTGTGTATGTTAACACACCACCCGAAAGCGGTCCGCAAAAAGCAGCGCGATGTGCAGAATTGGATCACATAGGTGTGAATACCCATGCGATCTGACAATTGCGGACCAAAAAAAGGGTCCTGCACCTTTTTGGTGCGGGTGCTGTGCAATTAGAGCTGTATAAAATGTATGACTCCAATCGCACCGCACACAAATCGCATGTGATTTGCACGGAAATGCGGTGCGGTTCCTGTGCGAATCACATGCGATATACCGCACCGCATATATGTGAACCCAGGCTCCATCCGCAACGCACATGTGTGAATCAGCTGTAAAATCACATTACCCTTGCAGTGGGAATTCCCCTGCACTCAACTGATGAAGTGCTCATTTTTGTTTAGGCAGACTTTTACTTGGCTTATCCCCGCTCCTGTACAATCGCTCCCAGCATGACTTCTCTTAGCCGCACTGTCGGCTGCAGGCACTCTCATATCTTCATGTACAATGCAGAACCAGCAGTCCTGCGTGGTAATTGAGGATGCACCCACCCACAACCTTTGGCGTCGGATAGAAATTTAGTGCATGGGAAGCAAATGATAAGGCAAATAAAACTGCAGTTATGTTCCCCCTAGTCTAAAATGAGCATTTAACCTTTGCGTTGGGGGGGGGGAAGACCCACTGCAAGGGAAGCTTTGGATATTTCAGCTTTAATTCTTTCCACCTGTGTACAGGGAGATCCCGGGAGATTTGCGCAGACTCGCCCAAGGTGGTCAGGTGAACCTGGATATGGAGGACCACCGTGATGAGGACTTTGTGAAACCCAGAACTGCCTTTAAAGCATTCACTGGCGAGGGCCAAAAACTGGGCAGGTGAGATCCTGGCAAGAATCCCAGGAGAGCTTAGAAGCTGTGTCCTGTACAATAGGACATTTCTAGCTCTTCAGTCATCCTTACATTGTTCATTGTTTTTGTGTTTTCAGCACAGCTCCCCATGTCCTGAGCACAGCCTCCCCATCCCAGCAAGCAGAAAACGAGGCTAGAGCCAGTTCTTCCATTACCCTCGATGAGTCTGAGCCCATCACAAATATCCAGATCCGCCTGGCAGATGGGGGAAAGCTGGTCCAGAAGTTTAATAACAATCACAGGTAAGAATTTTAGGTCAGCCAAAAAAAATGTATTCTAATTGTCAGAAACCACCAAGTTCATCCTGAGCACGACAGGAACAGGGATCGCTGTATGAAGTAATGCCGTAAAGTGCTACAGAATCCATAGAAATGCCAGACATTTGCTATAATGTTCAGGCTGTCTTGCGTTCTTTAGAAAAACTTGTCCTGAGAAACAGAGACTGTTATTGCTGAACTATCAGCCCCGGTTCACATATATGCGGACGCGTTTTGCGCAGGCACGAGAGCCCATTCATTTGAATGGACTCCCGTGCCCCGTGACACGCAGAGAAGTCGTCCCTGCACTTCTTCCGAAAACGAATGCCGCACGGGAACCTCCTTTCCCAGTACGATTGTGGTTTCCAGTGCGGGCGGCGTGCTATTAGAATGAATGGCACCGCCCCCCCGGGTCCGCATTTCTCTGTGCGGGTGGATTTTCATGCGGATCCGCAGCGGCACCACCCGCACAGATGTGAACCTAGCCTAAATCAGGAAAGGCTTTTTGCCATGGCTGTCATACAAAATTTCTGGCTTTTTTTGAGACATTGATCCAGAGAAAGAATATAACAAGTTTTGAGGGAAGTAACATTGACTTTCTTGTACTGCACAGTTGTTGCCAGTCACTACTGAAACCGAGTCAGGCAGGTGGTTTTTTTTTTTTTTTTTAGGAAGTTAACAGTAGACCCCCCCCCCCCCCCCCCTTTAACCCCTACAAACCGACGCCTCCCGGCCCTTTAAGGGTTTCGTTTAGGACTTAATTCATTTCAATAGCCAGAATAAATGATTATTCTTGTCGATTAAATGAATTAACGCCCAAGCGCTTGACGCCTGTAAACATGCCTAAACGCTTTTAACCCCTTCACGCCGGCGCCTCCTGGCCCTTTCAGAGTTTCAGAAGCCTGGAGGCGGGGCAGGGTTTAGGGTCATGTGACAGGCCGTCACGGCGGTCACATGATCGGGAAAGGTCCCGATCGAAAGAGGAGATCGGGACCTTTCCGTGAGTACCGGACATGTGTGCACGCAGGGCGCGCGCTCTCAGCACATATGTTCTTTTTTAATAGAGCGCAAATGTGCGGCCGCTCGGTGTCTAGGCCCAGACGCCGGGAGGCCGCTTATTTGCGTTTGGCCGGCGTGAAGAGGTTAATGAGAGGTTGATAAAATTTGTGGTGAGAAGTGCTCAGTGTCCAGGTCCTATAGTTCTTTTGTCTGCTTGTGGGTTTATAAACATTCCCCCCTGCTGGATTACAGAGGCACGTGCACATTTGCAACTCCGCTGGTAAAGCACATGCTGTAGCACGCTTGCCGAACAACTGAATAAGCACAATATTAAAGACTACATACTCCTTTTTAAAGTAGAACTCCACTTAAAAAAAACAAAACAAAAAAAAAAACCACAGCACTTTTTGAGTAAAAAGGCAACTTGCTTCCCTTTCAGGATCCGTGACATCCGCCTATTCATTGTCAGCGCCCGACCGGCAATGGCCGCCACAAGCTTCGTGTTGATGACTACGTTCCCAAACAAGGAGTTGACGGATGAGAACCAGACTCTGAAAGAAGCTAACCTCCTAAATGCTGTCATTGTGCAGCGATTAATATGAAACCTCCCCCATCCCATTCCCTTACCCCAGGCTTTCTATTCCACTTTCTCCCCATACACTGCGCTCCCCTCCGCTGGTGACATGGAGTCATTCTGTCTTGTAGTCCTGGGATCTCAATGCTTTTCAGGTGGACTTCTCTTTAGACGTACATTTTGCAGGATTTGTTATAAGCGTTGGACTTTAAAACGTTAAATAAATAGGAAACAGAAATGCCTAATTGCACTGTAATGTTTTCAACAAGTGGTAATGTTGTTCCGTCCGTCCCTTATCGGCTTTCTGGGATGTAAGGAACTCCGGATTCCTAAAACGTTTTGCTTTATCTAAGGATTAAAATCAACCATGTGTCTGATGTTTTTGCGTTTTAATGTGCAGTTCTGGGAGCGTTCTCAGGAACGTTTGGAAGGTGGGTGTCCATATTTGCTTTTTATTGACCAGTAGCCTTAGATTTGAGGTAATTTTATACTTTCTCATCTCTGTACAGGGAGCGGGATATGTTAAAGTCCTATTTTGCTGTGCCTTTAGTGTTCTGTTGCATTAATGCTTCTTTGGTGTCAAGTAGGCTCATTTAGCCTGAGTTCACATACGTGTGGCTCCGTATATCGCATGTGATTTGCACAGGAACTGCACCGCATTCCTGCGCAAATCACATGCGATTTGTGTGCGGTGCGATCGGAGCCGTACATTTTGTATGGCTCTATTTGCACCGTACTAAAAACCTGCAGGACCCTTTTTTTTTGATCCGCACTAGAATCAGATCACATGGGTATTCACACCTATGCGATCTGATTCTTCACATCGCACCGCGTTTTGCGGACCGCTTTAGGGGTGTTAACATACACACCCGCAGCGGTTCGCATGAATGGGGTGCGAATCTGATGCGGTGCAGAATTCACACTGAAAACGCTGCGAATTCTGTACCGTATCAGTGTGAACCAGGGTTAAAGATTTTTTTTTTTATTTTATTTTTTTTTAAATACCAAGGTTGATGTAGCATTGATTCGATGCTGGTTCTGTCCCATGCCAGTTCTATTTTTTTAAAAACATTTTTAATTATATTTTTATTTGGTTACTTTACAAACATTATTAAAACAGAATACATTTCCAAAAAGTACCTTTCATGCCGGTTCTAAATATGAGAACTGAGCGATCAAACAGTGCTGATCGCTCGGTTCTCTCCCGGCTCCTGTTTTCCCCAGCACTCACTGGAGCGCTGGGCTGTAAAAGGGGGCAGAAGTGGCTAGCTTAGGCTTTCAGCAAATTGCTGAGAGGCTGAGGCAGCTGCTGCTCCAGGGATCTGAGTGGATCCCAACTTTAAAACTGGGATCTTTCCCCAGCCTGGATCGGCTGAATGACGTCAACGAACTTTAGCCCGCTGTTGGCTGAAAACGGGTCACAGGAGTGCAGAACGAATTGCACTCCTGTGATCCACCGGAGAAGTATAGCCAAATGAGCTTTGGCTGTACTTCTCCTTTTTAAAAGATTTCTATTCCCAAACTATTTCAACAACAATCTTCCCTTTAAAATCCTACATACGATTATTTTATTTCATGCATGTTATTGGCATGTAAAGGCCTCCATTGCGTAAACTTCCAAAAGCCGCGAGACCGCTACTGAGCGTCACCATCTTGAATGTGGTGACAGCAGCCCCGTCAGATTCGGAGCTCTCTATAGCAGGGGTGTCAAACTGACGGCTCTCCAGCTGTTGCCAAACTACAAGTCCCATCATGCCTCTGCCTTTGGGAGTCATGCTTGTAACTGTCAGTCTTGCAGTGCCTCATGGGACTTGTAGTTTGGCAACAGCTGGAGGGCTGCCAATTTGACACCCGTGCCCTATAGTATTCCCCTTTTGCTCCTCCTCTTCCAGAAACAACATGAAAGGTCATGTAAGAGGTAACGAGCAGAGCAGCTGGTCGCACAGACATTGTTGAAAAGGCAATTTGACACTCTTCCTCGCAAAGAGAGAGAGAGGATTGTGCTAGGGAAGTCTGATTTCAAAGCTAGTTCTAAACCATATTATAAATGGAGAAAAATGATTAATGGAATGGAGAAACAATGCAAAAATAAATTCTAGATTTTTCTGTGCTTTTATTTTTTCAGCTACTGATGGCGCCTAGTGCTATGTGTTAAGAGGCCCACTCAAAATGGACACCACAATGCCTACAAGTCCTTGCAGCACACACAAATGCGCAGATGTTTGCACCTGACAATGCAAGTGTATTGCTATGTGCTGAGTGTTGCCATTCCAAATAAATACACTGGTCTGTGTTTAAATGCTTGGCCACAGCATGCGTTATGACGTGCATTACCTCAACGCACTGCTGGGAATGGGGCCTAAACGTGACTTGGTGTGTTCAGAGCAGGAAGTTAGCTGTGTGCAGCAAAATATTTCCTCCTTCATGATATACCTCAATATTATATATCTTTATCTTTGAATGCTGTAAGAACCACGTTGATGGAAGGCAGAATTTCATCAGGTCAGCTGAAGTATCCACCCCCACAATGGGGTTGTGCCTCCTCTGGAGCTGTTTGGGAGGGGTGGCCCTCATAGCTATGCTTGGAGGTAAGTGGAATTTTCTCTCTAGTCAATGGGCATAAAAATCTTCGAGAGTATCAGAGCTGGTGTCCTACCACCAATAATAGGAAATCCCCTTTGGCTGCCATTTTACTGTAATGAAAGTGAAATTGTATTCACCTCCCCTCCAGTGATGCAGTCCCCCACAAGCCAGGCTGATATTTTGGCTATTTTGATTGGCCAGGCTAAAAAAAAGTCACTCCTGCACATTCAGTTGTTGAACCTGTACACTTAGTAGCACCGTGGGTCTCTTCTGTATGAGCCCGGGTTCACACTGATGTGTCGAATTCGCAGCGTTTTCTGTGTGAATTCCGCACCGCATCAAAATCGTACCCCGTTCATGCGAACCGCTGCGGGTGTGTATGCTAAGTTAACCTGTAATCAGTCCGCAAAACGCGGTGCGATGTGCAGAATTGGATCGCATGGGTGTGTATACACACCCATGCGATCTGATTCTAGTGCGGACCAAAAAAGGGGTCCTGCATGTTTATGGTGCGGTGCAATTAGAGCCATACAAAATGTATGGCTCCAGTCGCACCGCACACAGATCGCATGTGATGTGCACGGGAATGTGGTGTGGTTCCTGTGCAAATCACATGCGATATACCGCACCGCATATATGTGAACCCGGGCTTAATGAGCCTGTCTGTTCTCAATTTTTTTTTTTTTTTCTTTTCTTTTGAAAATCCAATTTAAGCTGTCTATAGACTGCCTGAATGTTGGTGGATTCCTGCAGAGTTGGCTGAAATTCATGCTATAGGTGATCCTGCAGGCACTGAAGTGAAGCCCCCTTCTTAACTACAGTGTGTGTGTTATTTTCTTTTTTTCCTTCATTTCAATTTATTGCCCGACGCATGACAAATGTGTGAAGTTGGCTCTTGTAAGTTTTTTGGCACATACACTTTTGTTCATTTTTTTGTTTTTTTCTCTCTACTTTTTTAGTGCATGTTTGTGTATGGCAAACTGCGCCTGCTTCCTGTGTTTGGGATATAATTAATAATAGTGTTTGTGCTTGTTTGCCAAGTGCTCAGATGTGAACGGACCCTGCGTGTATCCAATCAGATGATCATCCAATCAGATGATCATCCAATCAGATGATCATCCAATCAGATGATCATCCAATCAGATGATCATCCAATCAGATGATCATCCAATCAGATGATCATCCAATCAGATGATCATCCAATCAGATGCAGTCACTATTCAGGCGACCATGGGTACTGTTCATGCCTGAGTAAAATAACCAGCACTGCAAATTCCTCCAACCAGACAGAGGCTCACGGCATGTTTGTGTGTTGGATCTGACTGTGGAGATTGCAGGGATGTAAAAGAGAGAAGGTAGAACTGCTTTAATAAAGACAGCACATTAAAAAAAAAAAAAAAATAAATATATGTAAATGTAATATTTTTTTTTTCATTTGGAAACACGTCCTATTTCCCTGCTCTGTGTAATGGGTTTGCACAGAGCAGCCCTGATCCTCCACTTCTGGGGTTCCCTGCCAGCGCTTTTGGCTTTTACCCCAGCTGTGTGCCCTACGAGCAAGATGTTTAGTATGTAGAGGGGGACCTGGTGGTGCTGGCTTGGCCCCATGACCCACTGCCACCTCCATAGCCAGTGAGGAGAGGGAGGTGAAAGCTGTTGCTCTTGAACACAGTGCTGGATCAAGATTGGGCTCAGGCTTAGTACAAGGGGGATTCTTGATCAGTAGGTTTTTTTTTTTTCCTTATTGCAGAGAATGCATTAAGGTTAAAAACAAACCTTCAACCTATAAAACCGCTTTTACGCCAGATGTCTGAGTTCTGATCCTGTGGTCACTGTGATTGGCAATCACATGATGGGGAATCCTGCTCTTAATCATCAATGAGGCGGGATCTGTCAGCAACAACTTGGTGAGAGTGCTGCGAGTGGGTAGCAGGTGTTTGCAAAACACTAGCAGTCCATTGATACATAGATGTGGTAACTCAGCAAGTGGACCTTAATAGGTAAAATAATCAATGGTGATCCTGCCATGAAGGTCTTAGTTCAGGCACTTCCTGTTACAGTGAGAAAACACTTAATTTCAAATATGCCTTTCTCTTGTCACACAGACTTCCAATGGGGATTGGTGACACCCATTTTGCAGCCATCGGCGAACAGATTATCATCCCAAGAATTTTTTTAATCTACACTCTTTCCTTAGAGTGACAATGCTGTATCCCTGCCATCCAATGGTCCTGCATTGTCACCCTATCACAAGGCTTTCCAACAACCATTATGTGGGGATGTTTCCACATACACATAAGGCCCCTGTCACATGGCTGTTCTGTATGTCTGTTTTACGGATGAAAAAAATGGACACCTATGTATTGCTATAGACTAGTGGATTTAAATAGATGATCATTTGTTTACATCTGTTATTATCTGGGTTTGGTTTGGTTTTTTTTTTTA